ATTAGCAGCGAGAGCAAATTTGACGGATCGAGGATGATGACGTCTTCCCTTTCCTCCGCGAAGACGAAAACTCTCCCCTCCCCGTCTCGCAGAGCGGATGGATGATGATGAGTTGGCGCGCGCGATGAAACACACAGTTCGAAATAACGTAATTAACTAGCTTTCTCTCGCGCGCGCGTCTCTATGTGCGAGCGCGGCGTTTCGGTACGTGTTTCGGCCGAGAACTTTCATCTCATAACCGCACAATTACGATTGTCGGGCCGCCCGCGAACTACTTTCTTTCCAATTAACGAGTTCTCTCCGGTGAAACGCGCCTTTTTTTCCCGCCGACAGCGAGCGCTCGGGCTCGGGGCCTCCCCAACTCGCAGATTTTTTCATCCACCGTATTATCCGCCGCAAAACTGCCTTTCGGGAAATCGTCGGCCACGATCTTCAAAGTGCTCCCTCTCTCTCTCTCTCTCTTTCTCTTTTTCTCTCTTTCTCTCCCTCGCCGCAATTTTAATATTCCGTATTCTCACGTATTATACCGCGAGTTGTATAATTTCGCGAGAGTGGAAAAACGTACGGCGAGTCAGCCGGCCGGGCTCCGTCGTTTGCTACGCACTCGTGGCAGGAGTAATTTGTAGTTTTTATGAGAAATTCTATATTTGCCCGAGCTGTTCATTAACCCGCTCGTGTTAACCGAGCTGCGACACGGTAATAAGGGTTGTGCAAAATGGGGTACCGGCGGTGTGGCAAAAGAGGCGAGCGCAGTTATGAGTTAGAGGGGAACGTGCGGAAGGTGGAGGAAGAGAGACGATAGAGAGAGAGAGAGAGAGAGAGAGGGAGAGGGGAGAGGGTGAGAGGTTTCTGCTCTTAATTAATTATTCCCGTGACAAACGCTAGTGGAAAGCCGTGAAGAGAAAGAGAAAAAATGCGAAAGCCGGTATTGAGAGTCGCGATATTTGTCTCAACGTCGACATATATTATCACGATTTCAATCCCTGGTTGTCGCGTGATGATATATATATATATATATCGGCGAGGGGATAATTTCTGATAATGTCGAAGAGAGCGCGTGTGTGTGTGTGTGTGTGTTGAAGATTTTGTCGGATTTCACAAACGCGCGAGAGAAAAACATGGCCGGGCATTACGCGAATTACGTTCGCACGATTTTCTTTTGTAAAAGCGCTTTTCGCACAAGCAAATACGCGTATTACAAGAAGTAGCAGCTGCGAGCTACACACCCCAGACAGGAAAGAGAGATTCATACTTAGCAAATCCGCACAGAGAGAAACGTACGATTATATATAACGCGCGTACACAACGCGCGTGTTTCAGAATTTCCCGTATAATTTTCCACCATCTCCACCGAGAGAGAGAGAGAGAGAGGAGGTCTGAAGTTTCTCTCCCTCTGTGCAGAGTTTCTCTACCTGCGCCGATGTGTTTCCTTAAGACAAATTTTCCTTCAAATCGTTAAATCTGGTACTTTAATCGTGTATCCGCGCGCGAGCTTAAGTGCTCGAGCATCTTGAGAGAGAGAAACACACACACACGCACACACACATACCAGTCCGTATCTTCTTGCCGCGGCGTACGCGCCTTGCTACGCGCGAATCTCGCGCTCGTCGTCGTTTCTCGAGTTACAAAACTCGACTTGCCTCGAACCGTGCCTAAAACAATATTGGCGGGGGCCGCCGCGGAAGCGCAGGGGTTCGCGCGCGCTTATATACCCGGAGTTGCGGTATATTAGGTATTTATTTAAGGCCGACCGACACGGCTGCTTTGCTACTCATTCGCCGTGGAAACTACTTGCGAGGAGCAAGTATTATGTGTGTGTGTGTGTGTGTGTGCGCGCGCGCGCGCGCGAGAGCGTGTAAGCGTTTACTACGGTGCACGTCATTGACATAGGTACTGCCGCCGCAGTCTTTGGGCACTAAGTACCCCCAAACTCGAAATGTTGACCCGGTTAATAGCTCCGTGTTTGTTTAGACTACTGTAGTTCGTATAAGCCGGGGCGCGCGGGCACACCGGTAATGCGAGTTTCATCGCGACGTCCCGGCCCGGTGTTGGCTCTCGCGTCGCGTTACGCGGAAACGAATCGGGTAATTAATGACGCGCCCTGTGTGTTTCCGCTTTGACATCGTTGCGCAAGAAAAATTCGAACGACGTTGACATCGTACCCCTGAGGTCTAAAGAGTGTTTTTTTTTTTTTATACGATTTTTCCGTGTGCGCACACCGGAAAACACTCTCAGCCATCATCGGACGATGATGATACTGACTCGCGTTTCGTGATTACCACGTCAGAATCACAGACTTAATGTGTCTGTAATTAGATAATTTCGAAAACGCGGATTGATCTCAATCACGCGCTGTCCTGTGAATTGAACGAGTCACAAGTTCCGTTTCTCTCACCCAATCACTTGGGTTTTAACTCACGGATCTTGTTACGCATTCAACGCGATCGTCAAAGAAGAAGAAGCGCTTCCACTCCGTTATTTTCCAATTCACTAATTTACAGTAAATTCGCATTTTCCACGTTGCCGATCCCCGTAGAGGAGGAGGACTATCGCGAGGAGAATGGCAAAGGAAAATCAGAGAATACGCTTCGCTTCTCTCGCGCGCCGTGTTACACCGAAAGAGGGAAAGGCTAATTATCGAATAACAAGGGACGCTGTTTGAAGACAGATCACCGGAAAGCTAGCGCGAGCTTGTAAATTGCTTAGTTTTTAATGCGTCCAACGAACGTCGCGATTTTCGATCTTAAAGCGACGGGAGGGATATATCTTACACGTCTTCTCGTATACAGTATAAATTATATTGTAGCAAAGGTTTCGTTTTTGTTGTTACACAATATTTTAATTATTTTGTAATTATATTGTTTATGATAATTAGTAATTATATTGTACGATAATGGATTTTTTTCGTAATATAAACGTGTGCGCGCCATCGCGTTTCTATCTTTACGCGTTCATTTTTCAAAATGTGAATCGATCTCTCTTTTGCAATTCTCCCCGCTGTATATAAATGCAAGTTGGCATAAGTACTCGCTACGAAAAACCCTCAGGTAAGAGGGAGAAAAAGAGAGGGAGGGGGAGAGAGCGCGGTAAAAGTAAAGCCTGGATCTACGGCTCGAAAAGCAACGAAAGCCATTGATCCTGACCAACAAGGAGGCGATCGTTCGCTCGAACGATCAATAAAGAGAAAATGAAAGGACTCGTTCCCGCAAGAGAGACTTATACGTTTCAGTAACGATGTAACAAAAATCACTATACGCTCAATCGACCGATCGATCGAGGATCGGAGGATCCGGAAAATCCTCGTGCAATACAATATCGCCTGTGTTGCTGTCAGAAATACATTTGAGTTATATGTAGATTACAAGCTGAATTAAATTGGAAAGAGAGAGAGAGAGAGAGAGAGAGAAAAAAAAAGAGAGAGAGAGAAAGAGAGAAAAATCTATGTAACTTTTTAATGAAACGTCGATTGAAAAAAATGGAAAAGATGGCGATCGCAATCTCGTACAATATTGCCTATTTGTTTCGCGAATATATATCTCGAATAATTAACAATTAACTTGTTCACTTTTAATAAGTAAACGTTAGTAACGTTCCAGAAAGGACAATTAAAAAAATTGATAACAATTTTGTGAAGTGCATATACGTTTCTGCAATTTTGCAAAAAAATACATTTTGCAATCGATCTTCCTATTTCTTGTTGCTTTCTGCAATTCATTCGTTTCAATTTTGTGCAAAAAAACACTTCTTTCGAAGATCCATTTTTTTCGATTGATCGCGGAGGTTAATGTGAAAAAAAAAAATGCAAATCTCGCGGAATAAATCCCGGTTTTCTTTTTCGGCTTTGTCGGTCTTACCCCCGCAACCTCGCGCTAACGATATAATCTCAAAAGCGATCTTATTGGCGTGCGCGCGCGGCCGTGGATTCGCCATACTGCCATCTGTGCAAACGATTAAACGGATCCACGGACCCGTGGCCGGCCATTGCGCGCGGTCCACAAACATTTTGACGTTCATTCACGTTACGTGAAAGAACGTCTCTCACGGTTCTTGACACCGAAAGGGTCGATTCCCTGATGCTTTGTGCGCAGCTACTCGTCACATCGCACTCTCAAGAATGTTCTTACACAGACGAAACGGTAACCCCCCTTCTCGTCAGTCGCACGTGCAAGCGAGCGATATGTGTGATTATATCTGTACGTATATTGTTGTGTGTTGTAGATCATACAAGTATCTCAAATAAACTATAATAACAACAATCAGTCTAATCCTACTGCTGATATCCTACTATGAACGTAATCCCACCACGTGCGTAAAGTTTGTGTCACGCTTGTGAATAAATGGGTTTTACTCTCTTTGTGTAAAATTTAACAAAGCTTTTTTTTCTCTATCATTCGCGGCATTGTTTGTAAGAAAAATCTCTTTTTAACGAAAACCAAGATAAAAGATATTGTAAAACAAAACGATCGTCGTCAGAAAAATATAGTGTCAAAAATTAAAACAAATCTTGTTAACAAAACGTGATTTCAGCACACAGGATACATATATAGTCCTCGATATATAGTCCTGTCCTTCGACAACGTACGGCTTTTTTCCACCTCCGCCTCTCCGCTCTTTCCTCTTCCTCCTCGGAATATATATCGCCATTGCTATTCAGATATTCGAGACTCTCTCTCCGCAGGGCTTTAATAAAAATATTTGCTGAGAAAACAGTTTCGTCGCGAAGGGGGTTGCGCCCTACCTCTCCCCCGGCGAGCAAGGCGAGTTATTCTTATATCCAGATTCGCGGCGTATTCTCCGCCAGCGATTTCCATAAATGCAATAATTCGAAATAAGACAACTTTCGGCGCTCTCATATTTCCGACCGCAGGACGGGAAATGTGTGTAGAGAGAGAGAGAGAGAGAGAGAGAGAGAGAGAGAGAGAGAGAAAGAATCTTTTGAAACTCTATACTCCTGTTATCATAGCACGCGGTTTCTTTACTGCAATAATAAGACGTAAACCTTGATTTTTGCAACATATTTTATTTCCCTTCGGTAATCACAAATGTGCATTGTAATGCACAAAGATAAACATTACGAAGTAATAAACAAACCTGTATAATGATGACCTCTCTCTTGTTATTTAATTTTTTTTTTGCGAGAAGTTTGTGACGCATTCCGCACCCCGACACATTGACATTTTCTTGAGACGTTTTCGAAATCTGTGTCTCGTTTCTTTCTTCATGACGTACCCGATATTTTTTATTTGATACTCATCAACGTTCATATCGTAAGCTTCGATAAATCTCTGAACAAGATAAAAAAAAAAAAAAAAACATTTCTGTTAATATGTAAAATATATTTTTGAAAATTAAAATAGAGCCATACATATTTAGAGAGATCGACATTACCTGATTATCTTCAAAAATGCAGAAGATGTCGTTTGAGTCGGGAGAAACGCGGCGAATGCAAGTGAAGGTATTGTTCGCGGCGTCCTGACACTTGCACGCCATTTCTTTCACGCACAACTAAATGGAAATAAACAAAATATAAGAATAAGCAACAACATACACAAATTGATATTATTTTTGAGAGTTTAAATAAATCGAAAAAAAAAAAAAAAAAAAACTTGCTGTAACATTCGGATCGACGTCACTTGGACATCCGGACGACGGAGCTTTTTTTGATCTTTCCCCTCTGTATTCTATCAGAACAGTCCGATCCTGCGGTAAATTACGTTTTCTTCTAAACAACGATGTTCCGTCCGACGGATGTTTCACGCCAGCTATGTCTAAAAGTGTGGCAAAGATATCCACACTGCTGACAGGCGTTAAAATTGTAGACGGATCAATTCCCGGACCGGACATCAACAATGGAACTCGGATGTCCGTCTCGTAAGGTTGACGTTTATCCATTGGCATGCTGAACTGTCCTATTAAAATAGTAGATGCACACTTCACGCAAAAGAGCTAACAAATTTGGTCAACAACATCGCGCAAGCTTTTCCGTGACGTGTAATAAGTTGGCACACAGCTACTTTATCACACACATCACAATATTTCACACACAAACAAATACGTGCAATACCGAATCACCCACCTATGTGATATCCATTATCGGAAGTGTAAATAAAGTAAGTGTCGCTTAGGAGATTTTGCTCTCTCAACAACGTGTGTACAGTTTTTACGAGTTCATCGACCGCCAGCAATGTTTCCCATCTCTTTCTGTATATCTCGTCTAATTTCGGTAAAACATCATCCGGTAACGGACACGGACCCTTTCTCACTAACCAATGTTTATCCTATTTTTATCAAAAATAAAAAAAAAAAAAAACAAACTGTAATACAAAAATTTTATAGAGAGATAATGTGAAATATTGGCTGTAATTATTGTGTTACACACGTATGCGCGTATACCTGATGTACATGTACATTGAAATTTGGAGTTCTCTTTGCTTTCGTGCCGTTGTACTTATCGTTGTGTCTATCGGCGGGTGTAAAGGGCGCGTGAGGGGCCGGTGGTGCTAACACCATGAGAAAAGGTCGGTCGTTGGAATTACTTTTTACAAAATCCGCAGCTAAATTACTCTGAAATATGTTAAACAATAACGCTAATTTATCGGATCAACATACCCGTGTCGTCTAAATCCCACACGGAAAAAAAAAGATTTGCTAGAATAGCAAGAAATTAGTTATTATATGGCCAGCACAAAAAAACATTTGTTAAGTTTATTAAAATTTTTGTTTCGCCAAAACAAAACATTTTGTTGATGAAACAAAATATTTTTCGTAGAGTCAACCATTTTTTTTGCTAATCATATAATAGCAAAACTTTTTTTTTCCGTGCACATTCTAAAGAGAAGATATGAAATTTTATAAAGATCGATCTCTCGACACACAAAAAATGTACTCACGATTACGTCGGTAAGATAGTCTGTCGGTTCGTTACCATATTTCCTCTCGGTACCGTTTATCGATAACGAATAGTTGTAATACTTGGAATTCCCTACAAGACCGGCCCACCAATCCCATCCGATCGGTACGTGAGCGGCGCCACCAACTCTCTTGCTTCCGTACTGTTCGTTTTTTTTTTTTTTTTTCATTCAATTTTGAAAATAAAATAATCTCTTCAGTTTATAAACAGTTTGGAAATAAATTTAAAAAATGTTTTTCAAACAACTCGAATACTCGGATCTACCTCGTTCAAGTATTTTCCCGCGTAAAATGTCCTGTATCCGACATTTCGTAAAAGAGCGCCGAACGTAACCGGTTCTCGTAATTTTTGCCATCGTTCGCTGCTACAACCACCGGCGATAGAATTATTCACCGTCAAATGATTGTGTTGATACCGTCCGGTCAGGATGGAAGCTCGGTTCGGACAACAAATGGGCGAAGCCACGAACTAAACGGCGCGGTCATTTTTGTGCAAGTAAACGAATTAGAAATATTACAAAATAAACTAATTTCTATTTGCGCGGGACTTACACAATTCGTAAACGTGGCACCGCGACGTCCTATGAGATCTCGAGTATTTATCATAGGCGTCTAGAAAAAAAACCAAACTGATGTATCCAATCGCAATGTATCCACTTACATTAGGTCCGCATTCATAGGCCCTAATGATTTTAAAAGATAAAATTATCTTTTAAAAGATAAAATTATCTTTTATAAAGATAAAAATATATTTTTTAAGATAAAATCATCTTATTTAAGATAAAATCATTTTTTCAGATAAAATCATCTTTCTTAACATAAAATTATTTCATTTAAGGTAAAATCATCGTATTGAAGAGACAATTACCTTATTTAGATAACGTTATTTTTTGTAAGATAGAATTATCTTAGGTACAGAAAATTTTTCTTAAGGCCGAAGGACAGACTTTTGCATAACGCATTACGCATAAAGACCATCACACATAAAATTGCTTAAAGGGCTTTCTACAATAAGATATTAGTAATAAATCAGAAGTCAGAAGCAAGAAATTGGCTAATCACAATCGATTATTCTTCTGTGATATGATTGTGATTGGTCAATTTCTTGCTTCTGACTTGTAATTTAATACTAATACCTTATTGTAGAAGGCCCTTTACTCTTGCTCAGTCATGAAAAACTGAATATCATGATTAGCAACTACATTGAAATTTGTGGTTGGAGATCCGAGATCTGAGGGCGATGTCCCATTGAGCGGAAATCTATAGCGGAACGGAATGTGCGGAACCAGCTCGACCAATCATAGCCATTCCGTTTTCTTTCCTTCGCTTTTTCTGTGGTTACGATTGGTCGAGCTGGTTCCGCACATTCCGTTCCGCTATAGATTTCCGCTCAATGGGACATCGCCCTGAGAGCTGAAATTTGAGATTGGAGACGAGATCTAAGATTCGAGAAACGACTATGAATTTGGACCTTAGTATTGCAACTAATGAAATCGATTAGAGCCTTTTGTATAGTAATGTTCAACACAAACGAGCATTCAATTTGTTTGCGTTGTTGTATTTATTCAAAAGAATAAATAATAATGTTTTTGCGCGCAATAAAAAAACACAACAACCAAATTTGCGGTCCAATTGATTTGAATTTTTATATAAAACTTGGAAAGGGAGAATTCTCTTTACCATGCCATCTAGAGTCGAGTCTTGATCGTCGGTAACAACCAGAATGATGTTCTTTGACGCAACCAGCGATAAACAATTTAGCAACGGGAAAAGAATCGTTGCCAGACGCATCTTGGATTGTTTAGATTTTGGGTTTTGAAGAAACGCGATGAGAGACGGGTCTATCGCAACCAGCTCGTAGTTTTTGACCGTGACGAAATTAGCCGACGGTACTGTGTGCCAAGAAATCACAAGTGTGTTACTCAGAAAGTCTCGTGTATAGGCGATTTTTGGCGATCGTATGGTACATATACCAAAATGTACCAAACTATAATTTGAAGTCACTCGAACTATAGTTTGGTACACTTTGGTATATGTACCATATGATCGCCAAAAATCGCCTTATATTAATATCATTCTCATAGCGCTTAGCGCAGACTAAATATAGCACAGCCGTTTCAACACGGCAAAACGTGCGTTACTGAAAAAAATGTAAAATTATTACTAATTACACTACCTCTAATGTATACAAAGCGTAATTTGCGAGAAAGGAAGTTCTCCTTATTTCTCCGTTTTCTAGGTTTGTGACTGCAAGCTCCTCGTCTTAGGTTAGGTCGAAGATTACTAGCGGTACTGAAAATCTACAGGTTAACGTTATGCGCTATACATTTTCAATTGTTGATCCGCAATAACGGAACAGGGGAATGACGGGAGAAAGGATTGAAAAAATTACGCGTGTTCATTCCGAAAGTCTTTATTGCGTCCAAGTGTACACAAGCGCCTTCCGCTTTCGTGTTCAAAACCTTGTTCGATCCCACAGTATCTGTAAACATTTGCGTATTAAGTACGGCTCTGATAATATGTGAAACAAATCCGCAAGATTAAGAAAAATTACTGGTTACTGGTGCTCTTATGGCTCAGTGGACCCTTAAGCCTGTTCTACAATACAGTCGTAAGCCGTAAGTCGTAAGAAATTGACCAATCACAATCGATTATTCTTCTGTGATTTATCTGTGATTGGTCAATTTCTTACAACTTACAGCTTACGACTGTATTGTAGAACAGGCCTTACAGCTAGTCCATACGCCATTCTAAAATTAAGAAAAATTAGTTTTGATCGTCATAAACACACGCGAGTATCTAGACGCGACTTGGTCTTGGTCTTGGTGCACTTATGGCTCTTGGACTCTGAGGGTTAGTCCATACGCCACTCGCTGAATCTAGACGCGACGCTGTTCGAACCATAAGGTTTGTTCGGGTCGCATGCTCCAATGTATACCACAGAGCACTTGGATCACTAATACGATGGCGGTTGAGGCAGATAAGTTCATGTGCGCTAACGTCCAGTGACACGAACGATCTGAGGCACTTCTCCTTCTCTAGCAATATGGGCTGCGTTCCGATATTCACTTCCAGTACTGGAAATCTATAGCACATGTGATGTGAGGTATAGATTTTTA